CAAATGCTAGTGAAAATATGAGGGGAACCTTATTGCACAGCTGGTACAAATGTAAAGTAGTATAACCATTCTGAAGGTGGTTTGAAGATTCCTCAAAAACCTAAACATAGGGGCTGGGAAGGTGGCTCAGTGGTAGAGCGCTTGCCTTGCATGTATGAGGCCCTGGGTTCGATTCCTCAGCACCACATAAGCAAAAAGAAAAAAGCCAGAAGTGGCGTTGTGGCTTAAGTGGTAGAGTGATAGCCTTGAGCTGAAGAGCTGAGGGACAGCGCCCAGGCTCAGAGTTCAGACCCCACAACCGGAACCCCCCCCAAAAAAAACTTAAAACATAGAACTTCCATATGATCCAGCCATACCACTCTTGGGCATCTACCCAAAACTTGTTCAAATCAGGATATAGTAAAGATACCTGCATATCCATATTCATTCCTGCATTAGTCACAATACCTAAGTTACAGCTGAGCGCCAGTGGCTCGCTCCTATAATCCTAGCTACTCGGGAGGCTGAGATCTGAGGATTGCAGTGTGATGCCAGCCTGGGCAGGAAAGTCTATAAAACTATTATCTCCAATTGACCACCAAAAAACTAGAAGTGGTGCTGTGGCTCAAAGTGGCAGGACACTGCCTTTTTTGTTTTTGTCTTTTGCCAGTCCTGGGGCTTGAACTCAGAGCCTGGGTACTGTCCCTGAGCTTCTTTTGTTCAAGGCCTGCACTCTGCCACTTGAACCACAGTTCCCCTTCCTGAACCTTACAACTGTGATCCTCAGACCTCAGCCTCCTGAGTAGGTAAATTTACAAGTGTGAGCCACCAGTGCCCAACTCCACCTATTTTCCAGTATTACAAAACCATACAAGTCATACTGTATAATCCAGCACCACAGGATCCATTTTAATTTTAACACACTTCTTTCTGGAACAATAAAAAAAACCTAAGGTTCAGTATCTACACTTAAAAATTTGTTCACTTAATTATAAAAATTTGTTCACACAAATGCACTTAAGAGGCTAAAGTAGGAAGACCTCAAGTTCAACAACCTAGAGTACACAGGAAATCCTAGAGGAAAAAAAAAGGTGTTTCTACTGGTTGTTGTTTTTGTTTTCTTTCCATCTGTTCATTTATCTGTCTTTTGGGATGGTAAAGGGGGAGGGGCACAGAAAGGGAGGGACAAAAGGCAAACAAATGCAGTAGTGATACTTATTAGATACCATGTTTAAACTATACAACTTGTAGGTGGAGATGGAAGAAAAAAATTGGGGTAACACTGCCCAATAAGAAATTTACTCATTAGCTCACTTATATAACTATAAATCCTCTGTATATCACATTTACAATAGTAATTTTTTTTTCCCCCCGCCAGTCATGGGGCCTGAACTCTGGGCCTGGGCACTGTCCCTCAGCTCTTCAGCTCAAGGCTAGCGCTCTACCACTGGAGCCACAGCGCCACTTCCAGCTTTTTTGCTTATGTGGTGCTGAGGAATCGAACCCAGGGCCTCATGCATGCAAGGCAAGTACTCTACCACTGAGCCATCTTCCCAGCCCATAGAATAATAATTTTTTTAATGACAAAGATAGAAGCTGAATGCTGATGGCTCATTCCAATAATCCAAGCTCCTTAGGAAGCTCAGAGTTCAGAATTGAGATTTGGAGCTAACCCCAGTGGACAAATCCTCTGCAGACAAAACCTACAGAATCTTATCACCAATTAACTGGCAAAAAGCTTTAAACAGAAGCATGGCTTGCTCAGAAAAAGCCAAGCAAGAGCTCATGGCCCTGAGTTTAAGCCCAGCTAGCACACAAAAGTTTTAGAAGCAGAGCACCATTGGCTCACACCTATAATCCTAGCTACCCAGGAGATTGAGATCTGAAGATCTTCATTTGAAGTCAGCCGAGGTAAATTGCTGACTAATTAGGAAAATCATAGAGAGATACACATAAGCAGAGTAAGAGAGAGAAAGCTCAAAGCCTAAATTCAAACCTTAAGATCAGCATGTGTGTACACGTACACATACACACACACACATACACAGAGAGGAAACTGGGTGCTGGTGGCTCATGCCTGTAATCCTAGCTACTCAGGAGGCTGAGATCTGAAGATCACCGTTCAAAGCCAGCCTGGGCAGGAAAGTCTGTGAGACTTGTATCTCCCATTAACCACCAGAAAACCAGAAATGGCACTGTTGGCTCAAGTGATAGAGTACTAGCCTTGAGCTGAAGAGCTGAGGGACACCGCGCAGGCCCAGAGTTCAAACCCCATAAACAAACACACACACACACACACACACACACACACACACTCACAGAGGACACCTGCTAATTCATACATATATGTAAATTATACAAAGTATGTATGGTTGTTCTAGTCTTTACTCTTGGGAATAACCAGTAAAATACTGTTTTTCAAAAATATTTACGTTCTTCATTTTCTTCTCCACAACCTCCTAGGATAATTATGTAATTCATTTATAAGTAACAGCAAATAGTACTCAGTTAAGCTTTTAATATCCTATTCTGGGTTCTCTCCTCACACTGTATTTGATTTTAACTATCTAGAAATTTGGGAGGAGAAAATTCCTGGACAATATTCTTCTGTTGAGAAAGCTTAGCTACAAAGTAGAGGTACAAGAAAATAAATTGGATTCAGAATAACGCTTTGTGCCTTAGGGAAGAAAGGTTTCTTTCTATTTGTAAAAGCAGAAGAGATAAGATTGAACACTAACTAAAAATACAAGCAAGCAATTGAAGAAGGTGAAGAGTCCTAGGAGGTAAAAGATATACCTCAAGATTTCAGATGCACGAGAACCACAATAGTTGTTCTAAAACCTTAGAATACATCAGAACACCTGGACAGTTCCAGATCAACCACTAGAATTTCTGGGTTGGTAGTTCTCTGGGTTGGTAGTTCTGGAGGGAGGCTTGAGAGCTTACATTTTCTATGCCTTTCTAAAAATTAGAATTTGAGAATGACTTGAATAAAATAATTCCAAAACAGAAATACACATAAACTGATATTCTCAGGTATAAGCCTGGAAAAAGGACACAAAAATATAGTGAATATTTACAAAGCTACTTAGTAGCACATGATTGCAATCCCAATACCCAGAAGCTGGAAGATAGGGAGCTCAAAGCAGCCAAGACTACATGTCTCAAAATAATAAAATATAACAAACCAATTTAAAAACAAAAACAAAGGAAACCCTGAATATTATATATCTGTTGACCATGGGAAACCTTAGACTTACTTATGGTTTTTCATTTTGTTCACTTTTATTTTCAATTAGCAAAGACCTTTTTTTTTTTAAATTGGTTAGTCATGTGGCTTGAACTCTTGGCCTGGGAACTGACCCTGAGCTCTTCAGCTCAAGGCAAGCGCACCACTTCTGGTTTTCTGGTGGTTAACTGGAGATGAGTCTCAAGGACTTTCCTGCCCCAGCTGGCTGGGAACCATGATCCTCAGATCTCAGCTTCCTAAGTAGCTAGGATTATAGATGTGAAGCACAGGCACCCAGCTTACTTTTTTTTTTTTTTTTTAATGAAATCTTACTATACAACCAGGACTTGTTTCAAATTTTCAGTCTGGAATTACAATCCCAGAGTGATGGCATTATAGTTACTAACCACTCCCTACTTAAGCAGCTTTTCACACAAGTACTTTCTTTTGACCAGTACTGGGGCCTGGGGACTGTCCTGGGTGCTTTTGCACTAAAAGCTAGCACTCATCATTTGAGGCACAACTCCATTCCAAACTTCTTTTGGTGATTAAGTAAACATAAAAGTTTTCATGGACTTTCCTGTCTGGGCTAGCCTGGAATTAAAATCATCAGATCTCAGCCTCCTGAGTAAGGATTATAGCTAAGAGCCCAACTCCAGTACCCAACTTCATAATTCTTTCTGTATGTGTGTGTAATGTATGTATGTATGTATTTTGTGCCAGTACTGAGGCCTTGCACTCTTGATTAGCTTTTTCTAACAGGCTCCACGTTCGAGTTCTACCACTTAAACCACACTTCACTTCCAGACTTACGATGCTTAGAGGTAAGAGTCTTTCAGGGGCTGGGAAGGTGGCTCAGTAGTAGAGCACTTGCCTTACATGCATGAGGCCCTGGCTTTGATTCCTCAGCACCACATAAGCAAAAAGAAAAAAGCCCGAAGTGGCGCTGTGGCTCAAGTGGTAGAGCGCTAGCCTTGAGCTGAAAAGTTGAGGGACAGCGCCCAGGCCCAGAGTTCAGGTCCCACGACTGGACCCAAAAAAAAAAAAGTCTTTCAGATTTATCTGTCAAGCTGGTTTCAAACCTTGATTGATACTTGGATCTCAACCTCCTGAGCAGCTCAAAGCAGCTCAGATTACTAGGCATGAGCCAACTATACCCTAAGTACTTTATTGTCTTTTCAAAACCAAAATTAATTTTGCTTTATCTATCGTATCATTGTTTAGAACATTTTCTTATTATAACTTTAGCATTATGAGAGTAATGTTTATTCCATTATATTTCAGAATGAAATACTTAAGACAAAGGAAAATTGTGAATGTAAGTAGAGGTAAGTAGAGATAACAGTCAATGTCAACATGTGTTTATTTGTACATTTTGGATCAACCACTCTCAAATCTCCTTAACTTTCATATCAGGCTAATCTTGTCTTTTCTTTTTTGGTACTGGGGATTGAACCCAGGACATTGCACTTGCTAGGCAACTGCTTTGCCACTGAGCTACATCCCAGCCCTACCACAAATATTTTTAAGCAATTGTAAAACTGCATAAAGGCATAGTAGTTTTATGTGTTTGAAAAGAACAAAAACTAATGTCAACTCAAACATTCTGGAAAAATGGTTTCAATCACTAAATATTCTTACACTAAAATTATTACTATTGTTATTATTTAATTTCAAACTATATGCAATCAAAATGCCCTTTGCCAGCTAAAAAAATCCAAAGAACAACACAGAATTGTGTTAAATTGTGGCAAAATCTTCTACATATGATCAAGAAGCGATGATGTTTTACCTGAGCTGTATTTGCTTCCGTTTTTGCAACTCTTGGTTTCTGAGTTCTTCCAAGCGTCTGAGTTCTTCTTGACGTCTCATTAGATCTATAAAATATTAACTGTATATTAATATTTTTGCCTTTTTTTGCTATTATATCAAAAAGTATAGTCTATTAATGACAAGATACTTAGTAACTTAATATTAACACATTTTTCCTATAAATCTTTTAATTATAAAAGCTACACAATCAAACTACTATCTTTTCAGCACTAGTTTACTTTCAAAAGAGTAGTAGAATTCTTCTTTATGTTAGAAATTGTACTAATTGTTTCAACATAAAGCATGGTACAAATGCTAGGGATATAACTATGATAGAGCACTTACCCACTATGCTGTTGAGTTTGTTCCCTATACCCCCACTCCCCAACACACACACAAAATACACACAGAAAGAGAAAAGAAAAACACTTGTAGCTGGGGGTCAGCGGCTCACACCTGTAATCCTAGCTACTCAAGGAGGCTGAGATCTGAGGATTGCAGTTCAAAGCCAGCCCAGGCAGGAAAGTCCCTGAGACTTTTATCTCCAATAAACCAATAGAAAACCGGAAGTGGCGCTGTGGCTCAAGCAGTAGAGTGCTTGCCTAGAGCTGAAGACTGCAGGGACAGCGCCCAAACCCAGAGTTCAAGCCCCATGACTGACAAAAAAAAAAAAAAAGGGAAAAACACTTGTGGTTTGGCTGGGCATGGCAGCACGTGTCTATAATCCTAATGCTGAGATAGGCTGTGGAAGATAATGAATTAGAAGTTAGCATGTTCTATCTATGGACCTATCTATCAATCAATCAATCTATCCTCTCTGAGAAGGAAAAATAAACTATCAGACAAAAATTATGAATTGTAGATATATTAACACATTCATTTACAACTTTAAGATCACAATGATTTTTAGCAGCAAATTTGAAAATCAAAATGTTAACCATAAGTGTCACTAGTAAAGCTTAAGAACTTAGTTCTTGGGGCTGGGAAGGTGGCTCAGTGGTAACTCTACCACTGCATGCCTTGCATGCCTGAGACCCTGGGTTCGGTTCCTCAGCACCGCATAAGCAAAAAGCAAAAAGCTGGAAGTGGTGCTGTGGCTCAAGTGGTAGAACGCTAGCCTTGAGCTGAAGAGCTGAGGGACAGAGCCCAGGCCCAGAGTTCAGGACCCACGACCGGACCCAAAAAAAAAAAAGAACTTAGTTCTTATTTAAGAACTAGGATCAGCACAGTCAGCAGATGTATTAATAAAACTAGATAGGGGGCTGAAGTGGCAGAGTACCTGTCTAGCAAGTGACAAATCCTGAATTCAAACCTCAATACCACATAACAAGAACCAAAACATAAGAAAACCAAGAAACCACAAAAAAGCAGAAATAAAATAGTTTCATGGCAGGGCTGGGAAAGTAGCTTAGTGGGAGAGTGACTGCTAGCATGCACGAAGCCCTGGGTTTGATTCCTCAGTACCACATAAACAAAAAAAAAAAAATCAGAAGTGGCGCTGTGGCTCAATTAGTAGAGGACTAGCCTTGAGCAAAACAAGTTCAGGGACAGTGCGCCCTGAGTTCAAGCCCCAGGACTGGCAAAAAAAAAAGTTTCATGGCATAAAATCCCTCCCAACAAAATCAGCACAAGATCACTTTTACACTAATCAATGTTATTCAAAGGGCAATGAAGAAAAATCCTTGAAAGAAAAAAAAAAAAGGTTGAATACTAATATTAAAAAAAGCGGGGCTGGGAAGGTGGCTCAGTGGTAGAACACTTGCGTTGCATGCATGAGGCCCTGGGTTCGATTCCTCAGCACCACATAAGAAAAAAGAAAAAAGTGCTGTGGCTCAAGTGGTAGAGCGCTAGCCTTGAGCTGAAGAGCTGAGGGACAGCACCCAGGTCCAGAGTTCAGGCCTCACAACCAGACCCAAAAAAAAAAAAAAAACAAAGAAAAGCAACTTTTTTTTGTTTTGCTTTTTTGAGACAAAGTCTTATACCATACCCCAGGCTTTAACTATTATCATTAATCCCTAACATAACAAGAACAGGAGTTCCAAAGTAAGATGAAAATAAATTCAGAGCCAGGCACAGGTGGCTCATACCTGTAATCCTAGCTAATCAGGAGGCTGAAATCTAAGGATCACAGTTCAAAGCAGGCTTGAACAGAAAAGACCCCATGAGACTCTCTTTATCGTCAATCAACCACTCAGAAAAGACAGGAAGTAAGGCTGTGGCTCAAGAAGTAAAATGCGAGCCTTTAGCAAAAGTAGCTTAGGAGCAGCATCCAGGCCCTGAGTTCAAGGGCCATCACCAACACCAAAAAAGAAGAAAGAAAAAAGAACTAAGGGACAGAGGTAAGGCCCTGAGTTCAAGCCCCAGGACTTGCATTAGAAAAAAACAAAAACAAAAAACAAAAAAAATGTCTCAGCAACTTTTCAAAACTTGACTGGCTTTGAACTGCAATCCTAAATCTCAGGCTCCTGAGATTAAAGACCACTAGCACCTAGTTCAACAGCGTGTTTTTAAAATAAATTCTTACACTCAGAAGTGAAATACAAGTTAAATTATGAGCTGGGAGCTAGTGTCTCACGCCTATATTCCAAACTACTCGGAAGGCTGAGATCTAAGGATCTCCATTTAGGCAGGAATCTGTGAGACTCTTTTCTTGTTGTTTGTTTTTCTTTTCGTTGGTTGTGGGGCCTGAACTCTAGGCCTGGGCGCTGTCCCTCAGCTCTTCAGCTCAAGACTAGAGCTCTATCAGTTGAGCCACAGCGCCACTTCCTCCTTATGTGGTGAAGAATCAAACCCAGGGCCTCATGCATGCAAGGCAAGCACTCTACCACTGAGCTACCTTTCCAGCCCCTGTAAGATTCTTATCTCGAACAAATTAGACTGAGTAAAAGCCGGAAGGGTCACTGTGGCTCAATGAGAACAGAGATGCTCAGGGACAGAACCCAGGCCCTGAGTTCAAGCCCCAGGATCAGGAAGGGATAAAAAAGCACTCAATAGGCCTTTGACATTAGAATTTTACACACACACACACACACACACACACACACACATACACACTTGAGGGAAAAGGGGTAGAGGGAGGCCAGTTGTAGAACTTAAACCATAATCCTCAGATCTCAGCCTCTTAAGTAGCTGGATTACAGGTGTGAAACACAGTGCCCAGCTAAAATTATGTATTTATTAGTTAGCAAATAACTATTCATTAGAATTACTTAAAATCTTTTTATTCTAAGACCAATCATATCAAAACCTCCAGGAATGGCTGGGAAGGTGGCTCAGTGGTAGAGCACTTGCCTTGCATGCTCAAGGCCCTGGGTTCGGTTCCTCAGCACCACATAAGCAAAAAGAAAAAAGCCGGAAGTGGCGCTGTGGCTCAAGTGGTAGGGCACTAGCCTTGAGCTGAAGAGCTGAGGGACAGCGCCCAGGCCCAGAGTTCAGGCCCCACGACCAGATCCAAAACAAAAAAAAAAAAAAAAAACCTCCAGGAATATGGATCAAGTATGTTTATGCTCAATGGTATCCAGATTTTTTTATGTGTATGAACACTGAGAATCACACAAACTATCATGGATTTTAGCTAGAGAAACCTAGTGATTTTACTAGAAATTTGTAACTTAAGCCAGGCACTGGTGGCTCACACTCAGGAGGCTGAGATCTGAGGATCACGGTTACGGTTCAAAGCCAGCCTGAGCAGAAAAGTCCATAAAACTCTTTTTTTTTTTTTTTTTTTTTTGGGGGGGGGGGGGGGTCCGATTGTACGGCCTGCACTCTGGGCCTGGGCGCTGTCCCTCAGCTCTTCAGCTCAAGGCTAGCGCTCTACCACTTGAGCCACAGAGCCACTTCGGGCTTTTTTCTTTTTGCTTATGTGGTGCTGAGGAATCGAACCCAGGGCCTCATGCATGCAAGGTAAGCACTCTACCACTGAGCCACCTTCCCAGCCCTCCATGAGACTCTTATCCCCAATTAACCACTAGAAAACCAGAAGTAGCAGTGTGGTTCAAGCGGTAGAGAGCTCGCCTTGAGCTGAAGAGAGCAGGGATAGCACCCAAGCCCAGAGTTCAAGCCCCATGACTGACCAAAAAAAAGAAATTTGCAACCTAGTTGCACACTCAAAAGGAAAATACTTCAACAAATGTCAGTATGAGACTTGTCCTATTATTATAAACAATCCAAAAAAGTTAAAACAACACATCCTATAACAATTTTATCCATGGATTTGTTCTGAACTAATCTACCATTTACAACAATATGAAAATACATATTTATTCCTCTATGAAAAGTAATAAGATAAATTGTGTTCTTTGTGACAACTAGATTTTATACTTTTTGGGGGAGGAGGAGGGTAACCTGTGGGGCTTGAACTCTGGGCTTAGGCACTGTCCCTCAACTCTTCAGTTCAAGGATTATGCTCTACCACTTAAGCTACTGCGCCACTTCCAGTTTTCTGGTGTTTAATTGGAGATAAGAGTCTCATGGACTTTCCTGCCTGGGCTGGCTTTGAACCTTCATCCTCAGATCTCAGCCTCCAGAGTAGCTAGGATTACAATCGTGAGCCACCAACTCCTGACTAATTGTACACTTTTAAATCAAGCCATTTGAGAAAACTGCATTAGGGTTGGAGTTTGGCTCAGTAAGAGAGCTCTTGCCAAGCATACTCAAGGCCTTTCATTCAATCCTTGGGGCAATGCAACAACAGAGAGGGGGAAGGTGGGGGGGGGGGAGGTTGGGAGATGGGAAGGGGAAACAAAGGGGGGGGGGCAACAATGCTTGATAAGAAATGTACTCATTATCTTGCCCATGTAATTGTAACCCCTCTGTATGGTACTTTCACAATGAGAAAGAGAGAGAGAGAGAGAGAGAGAGAGAAAGGAAGGAAGGAAGGAAGGAAGGGACAGAAAGAAAGAAAGAAAAAGAAAGAAAGAAAGAAAGAAAGAAAGAAAGAAAGAAAGAAAGAAAGAAAGAAAGAAAGAAAGAAAGAAAGAAAGGAAGGAAGGAAGGAAGGAAGGAAGGAAGGAAGAAAAGGAAGGAAGGAAGGAAGGAGAGAGAGAGAGAAAGAAAGGAGAAAGAA